CTTTCAGAAACGAGACAGAGGAAATCTTCCAGGGCAGCTTGTATTTCACAGATCCAGGGCTTAAAATCTTACCTGCAACACATAGGACACTTATTGAAATGTGTGGCTTATTAGTGCAATAGAATACTGCAGCCTCTTTCTGTTTTGTTTTGCATTTTCAAAATCAGATTTACTGCCCAAACAGCCTGCAGTAAAGGACGTACTTTACCATTCACCTCTATCTGTAGTAGCTCTGCCATCTGGCAATGCTTAGCATTTTGCTAAAAAATTAATCTGAATTAAGGATCATCAACCCATTTCTTTTTAATTGTGCTTTACCTAGACACAGGAGGTCATTTTACAGTGATGCAAGACGCCCTATCTACCAATTCACTGTTGTTTATTCAAGCTGCAGAAGTATTTTGCTGCTTTAAAAGGTGCAGCACAAACCAAAAGCTGAACTAATCCCAGATTTCTGCATCCCTATAAAATACAAGGAGAATTCAGTACAGAAATAACACACCATCGTAATCCAGGCCATAATCTTATCTATCCAGACTGAAATGAACTATACTTATCCCCTTGCTGGCTCTGGTTCCAAAGCTGGGGGCGAAAGACAGCCATGAAGAATTGGGCAGGTGGAAACTCAGGCCTTGAAGGTAAATTAAAAGATATATTGATATAGTCACGGTATAGGCAACATTTTCTACTCTTTATTCAAACTTGCACATGCTCAAGAATACACAAAGGTTTCAAAAGACAAAAACTGGAAGGGATACCAAACCTCAAACACCACAGTGCAGTGGGAATCTCTCCAGCAACCCAAGCCTTCAGGGCAAAGTTGTGCCCAAACCTCCCTCTATGCCTCTCTGCTTCAACTGCTCCAGGATTAAGTGAAGAGCTTTTCATGACACAGCACATACAAATACTTCACAGTTATTTCCCTCTCCCCTATAAAACAACAGTTTAAAATCTGATACAAACAAGACAACTTACTCAGAAAACAGGAAAAGCTACAGGGACAAATCAGATGCCCTGTACATGTATACATACCATTAAAAGACTACCAAAACAACTCGCATAAAAACTCAATTAAAAAAAAATAAAGGAGGAGTTCTCCAACCTACAAGATGGATCGGTGCAATTCATCCTGTGAGCATTTTGTTCCAATACAAACTCGTTTCCAGGGGCTTACTTCTAACATGCAAAAAAAGAAACAAAAAAGCTGTAACAGAGCCAACTCAAACAAACTTCTTCCCTCCCTCCTTTTCAGATTTTGTGTTGGAAATAAAATTGCTGTGCTGTTTTGTGACACAAAGACATACGAAGTAAGCAGCAATATATTGTTTCTTTCTCATTTACTGCCATATCCTCTTTCAAAAAGTATAACATCAATAGCTAATCACCTTATGAAACATGACAACTGTTTTTGTGATATAAATCATTATGGCATGTGCGGAACAGGTTCTACTCTGTGTGAACTCAGCATCTAATTCAGCAGTGCTTCACTCCTGTTTGATCTTTCGATAAAACTGCAATACAATTCAAAAAAACCCTCATATTAAATGCGTTTCATATAAATTCATTTTAATAGTGAGACTGGATCTCCTCGAAGTTTTTAATCAGCCATTTAGCAAAGTCAGCTCTAAATAACCACTGATGCAGCTTTTGTGTAAGGCAACAGAATAGGTGCATCCTCCACTGGAAGGTCTCAAAGCTTCAAGAACATTGGCAAAATACTCCACTTCACCCCTCATCTCTCCACAGCAACAGCTGTGCTTCCTGCCAAGTCCCTTTCTCACACTGTAGGAAGCAGTGGTAGGAAGGTATCAGATGATACCAGTTTCCCATTCAAATCTTCTGCTCAAGGCCTGAGGAATCAGAACATAGAAGAGATCTGAGATAAACCAATAATATGGCTCTGTATGTGCCAGGGAATCAGTCTCAGGGCTCAAAATACATAGATACGGCAGAGCCGTAATGGAAGCTACAGAAATAAGCAGCAGGCTGGACCAAGCAGGAAACAAATAAAAGAGCAGCTGAACACTGCACCTGTTGTTCACAACATGAGTGGCACAGGAGTGAAAGGGAAGTATGGAATCACACGACCTTTACAGCTTTGCATCTTTTATGGCTTGCCCACGTGGAAAATCTACCAAGGAAAGAGAATCATAAAATTGGTTAAAGCAGAGCAGCCGAAGTGAAAATGGAAAACAAGAGCTAAAGCTTCACCAGGAAGCTTACACACAAAAGCCTCAACTGAGGACAGACTTAACAAAATTCTAAGGGCAGTGCTAGCAAAACAGGCTCAAGTCAGCCAAGGTCTTGCACTTGGATCAAGGCAACTCCCACTATCAGTACAGTCTGGGGGACTTAAGGATCAAACACAGTCCTGCTGAAAAGGATTTAGGAGTAGTGGTGGACAGCAAGCTGGATAATGAGCCCAGCAGTGTGCCCTCACAGCCCAGAAAGCCAACTGTATCCTGGGCTGCATCAAAAGAAGTGTGGTCAGCAGAGCAAGGGAGGTGACCCTGCCCCTCTACTCTGCGCTGGTGAGACCTCACTTGGAGGACTGTGTCCTGATGTGGAGTCCTTAGCACAGGAGAGACACGGACCTGTTGAGGCATATACAAAGGTTTGCACAAAAATGATCCAAGGGATGGAACAGGGCTAAGAGAGCTAGGGCTGTTCAGCCTGGAGAGGAGAAAGCTCCAGGCAGACCTGAGAGCAGCCTTTCAGAATCTAAAGGGGGCTATAAGTAGGGACAGACCCTTTAGCAGGATCTGTGGTGATAGGACAAGGAGAAACGGTTGCAGGCCCACAAGCACCAATGGTGTCCTGTAGGTTGGGATCTGGAAGGGGGAGATATTCTGGGATATTCTGCCTGGGCTCACTGGAGATAGCATAATATTTACTGCAAAAAAGAAAGGTTGTGGAGATAACAAACACTCACACTTCATGTGCTGCTAAAACCACAGGTGAAATGCTCCTACCAGTTTCTGCTGTACTTTGCCTTTATGACCTAATACAAAGCCAACTGGAAGTAACAAAAACTTTCAGGGTGATTGGAAGAAAAGTCAATGCAACTGCTTCCTTTGCACATAACACGAAGTTATAAGCACTCCTCTGCACAAACCTCTTCTGCCTTGGTCATTCCCACTTTACCTATGACTTGTTAATAAAGGATGGCACGTAATCATCAAGATAGCATCATAATAAATCAACATTATACCTGCTCTATTTTTTCCCAGGTGGTTTCCTATTCACACAAAGCAAACTGTCAAACTATCTTGCCAGGCTGGGCTTTTTGTTCTTGTTGAGCTGACACTTGTTTTCATTCAGCGCTACGCCAGCAGCAGGCAGGGCACAGGGAACAGCATGAGACCTCGATGAACCTGACGGAGCTCTCTCTGGTGGTACTGCTTCCACAAATGGACAGCTGGGATGGGCAAGCCCTCATCTGGTGTTTTAGATCTTAAGCATGTACTTGCAATTTCTCTTCAAATATGTTTGCTGTTAATTATTTAACTGCAACCATAACATATTAAAGAAATTATGGAAACTCAATTGGAGATATTTAAATTTCATGATAATAAAGTTCTGGTTTCACAAAATACAGAATTCTCTCTTTAAGTATACAAACTTAAAGGCAAAAATGAAGGTAAACACAATTTTTTTTTATTTGGGAGAAGGAGGGAAGTCATGTGCCAGAACTTTGTTAGTGAGCAGTCCTAAAACCAACTCTCATCTTGGAAAAACCATCTTGCATTTATGATCCTGCAACATGAGACATATATCAGAAACACAAATCATTAAATTTGGTGATCAAGATTTTGCTTCAGGAGATAACAGCCCATGACTGGCTTAATTTTAAAAGTTCTCATACTGTAGCTTTCTGAGTTGGATGTCACAACAACTGTAAAAATACTACAGTTGTGCTAACAAATCTTACTATTCATTTTATTTAGAAACTTAATCCTTTTTGTTTTTTTAAAGGAAGTCTTGCCAAATCTAATTAATTCATAACACTGGGCATCAGTGAATGCTGTAAATTAGCAAAAAGGATGCTGTCATTTTTCAAATGACCTTATCACAGCACCATATTTAGTTGAGAGAAGTCAGCAGTCATTTTTGTGCAAATTTATTACTACAATTCAAAAAAAAAAAAAAATTCCCTAACTCAGAAAAATCACACAGGGAGGACAGCAAAGGCTCAAAACTCAGTGGATTCTGCATGAGGAGAATTGGCAATACCAGTCTAGATAACATTACAATTACTGCACCAGAGTGAATAAAGTAACAGTGAAGCCACTACAGAAAAACTGCTTAACCCACTCTGCAAACATAAACACTAAAATACATCCCACTTTTTGAATATAGCCAATTGTTAGAGTAGGATATGTATATATATATATATATACGTGGGCTTTCAGTGGCACAAAACGAAACGAGGCCAGGATGTGGATGTATGCTTTCAAGAGTTTGAAGAGGCTGTTTACATGCAGGCACTGCGCAGATCCCAGGGTGTGCGTGCTCCCAGACTGCACGCTACAGGCAAAACAGCACTGGGACTTTAAAGGTAAACAGTCATAATTTTGCTATTCCTAACGCCACCATTTCTTATTCTGTCAACAAAGAAATTCACAAGCCTGTATATTTGGTTGTAAGCAGGAGTTCCAGAACTGCAGCTATCTGCACAGCGCGGGCAGAGAGCTGCTTAAGTGCTATTCTCCCAGCCCTGCCGTCTGGCAGCACCGTTTCTTCGAAAGAGGTCTTGTATCCTTAACATGGCTGCCATGCCTTACATAACACAATGAATGACAATATAGGTATTTTGTTCCCTCAGATGGGCACTGCCCACTGGCCATAGGATTTCCCATACAGAACCACAAACAGCTGAGACAAAGCTTTGTAGCAGCACCACTCCCTCTGAGAATAAGAAATTGCAGCAAGAAACTCAGCCCTCACTGGCTCTAATTTCCCTTTCCCATCTTTTTCTAGTCAATAACAGGCATTCTTACCTTAAGAATAATGACAGCTGCGCTCAGTACAGCCTGCTGTCCTTCATCTGAGCTCGTAAATAAATATCTTGGCGCAGCCGCCTGCTGCAGCAGGTAACCAGGAGCACAGCCTGCCTCTTCTGCTGCCGGAGCTGCTCCATCTGAGCGCTAGCTAATGGGAGCGCTGTCACTGTGAGTCATGGCAGTGACTCAGAGCAGATGCAGAGCTGCAGGAGGAGTTTAAGTTTCAGCCTTCCTCTCACTCGCTCCAGCTCCGTGTCACACAGGCACAGACATATGCATGCGATGCCTAAGTGCCTGCATGCACACCTGCAGATGGGTATTTCTTCCAGCAGCAAGTCTGATTTCTTTCTTTGTGCAATCTGGCCCGCTTTTTTTTGTTGTTGTTGTTGTTTTTTTCCTTTTCCCCTCCTAGGATGGCTGATCTGGTTCTGCTGCCACTGTAAATGTGTCAGCTGGGGTGCTTTCAGCGTGCTTGCACAGCCTGGCAAGACCAGGGGAAAAAGCTCAAAACCCCAAGAAAAATTGTAAAACAACAACAAAAAAAGACAGGGCAATACCTACTTATTCATCACAAACTTATAACAAAGCGGCTTCACTAAGTACGCTGGGGACAATTTTGGAATCAAATGCAGTGAGAGGAGAGTAGACGGAAGGACTACAGGATGTGTGCAAGTAGGAAGCCTATGTGCCTGACACCAGGACAAAGTGCCTACTGGAGAGCACTGCTGCATTACAGCCAGGGCATCTGGGGAAAGGTTGGATTCTGGCAGCCTTCCCCATATCATTCCATGTCAGTAGGGACCGAGTGCCACAAAGCAATCTGATCACATAGCCACTCCCCAGGCCTGCCAGGCTCCCCACCACCTTCAATTGAGAGCAGGCACTTTGAAGCCAAAAGCTAGACAGAGTTAAGATGCAGCACTGTGCTGATTACAATTTATTTCTTGAAGTCATACCAAGCAATTAGCACTAAGTAAACCAAGGCTTCAGGAAGGGCAGATGAAATCCTTTACTTCTGAGCCAGCAGGTCAACCACACGGAAACAAACATGATGGAATGAATGAAGAAAGTATTGTCAAAAGAAGCTGCTGGCCTGAGGAACTATACCAGTATAATGCATAGACCTGCTTATCAGCCATTCATATAAACACCCCAGATATTTTGGGAAAAGACACTCAGTTTATGTCAAAGCATTTACAGCAGAACATCTTTGCTCATCCCTAGCAAATGTCCTGCTGGCTATCATCCAGATAAACAGATTTGTACTGAGAATTCTCAGGGCAAAGCTAACATCAAAGCATGACTTTTATAGCTCTTGCAGTCCTTCTTAGAAAAATACCTTTGTAAAGCTGAATCACACAAAGGTAAGCCCATTCACCCAATCCAAGGATGTGCTCTGCACTCTTCACTAGCAAATCTGGTTGTTATTAAAGCCACTGAACAAACTTTCTGCTGTGATGGCAAATGTTTACTCTGTCCTTGTATCTCAAAGCAGCAACGAACACAGGCTTGGCAGGGACCAAGAGATGAGGAGAAATCAAACCGAGCAGAACAATCCTTGAAGCACAGTCATGGAGATATACTAAACTCCATAGTGTGCCTGAGAATAAAAACAAAACTAAGCAAAAACCAACCAAACAAAAAAAAAAAAACCCACACAACCAAAAAACACTATAACCCCTGAGAGTTTTAAACATGAATCCACCAGCAAGGACACAGTCCAAATGGCAGCTGTGACACAGAACAAAACAGGAAGGCACTTTGTTGCTGTTGCTATTTGTTTTTAAATGTAAGGCATGCTTTAAGATACCTCCATTCAATATTATACAGTGGTCCATCTAAGAGCATGGAAGATGACTCAAAGAAAAGAGCTGTTTAAGACCTCAAATAGATAAAACACACCAGTGGTGAGCATGCACTGTGTAACATGCACATACTTAGCTGCAAATGAACTTATCTGCAAATAAGAAACTATCCAGCTGCTGCAGGCAGCAGTTCTGCTGCCTAATTGGTGTCTTTGGCTTGACTTTCTGCAGTAAAAAGTGTTTGGATTCTGGATCTAGAAGTGGGAAAATCTGAAGGCTCTTACCCCAGAAGAGGTAAAAACCTAAATACTGACACTTTGGATAAAAGCTTGAACATGAATATTATTACAGTCTCCTAAACTGAACACTGCTGCAAGTGAGAGGTAGTGTAGACTATTAAGCAATTTTTATGGATAAGAGAGAGGAGATACTTCTTTCTACTTGAGGGAATAAGCAAGAAAAGGCTCTTCTGTAATATTGAACATGGTACCTCTGAACACAGTAGGGCATGGAATTCTGTCCTTCCTTATCATCTCCAAGTCTCTGGGAACTGTTTGTTTATAAGCCATCACGATGCTAATCATGGAGTAACGGTTTCCCACAGCCTCTTTCAGGTTGGCAGATTCCGTATCAGCTTGCTTTCCTATGAAAGTTGCATTGTCCTTATAGAGAACACTTCCCTCTACCTCTGTTCTTAAGCTTTTTTTCCTCTTTAGTTATACTATCCCAAGAAAAAAAAATAAATGTATTCACGTTCTTCAAGGACAGAGCTGGCTTCCAATGCAATAGAGTAACAGAAGCAGATTGAGGAACACCAGCAGTATCCACAGTGATACCTTCCCCCTTCCAGTCACCCCTCCTTCAGCTACACACTTTGCTTCATCCTAACAGTTTGCAGCCTCGTTTATCTGAGCCCTATGGAGAGGTGCAGAAACTAGATCTCAGTGTCTTTCTCAGTAGAACACCAGAGTTGCCTTACAGTGCACCTCAGCAGCAGGTTCATTTCTTCCAGCTGATTAACTCTCATGGCTATCTGTGATGTGCCATGACAAAAGCACTGTTTGTTTCTTAGGAAAATGAAAACATCTGCTGGTAACAGCATCAGCCCCAGAACCTTTACCCTGTGCAGACAGCAAACAGAGGAAGCCACAGATGAAAGCAGAACTTAGTGATCGGTATGGGAGGAGGGCAAAGGATGCACTTATCACAGTCATCTCAAGGTCTCTGAAGGTAATTAAAAGGAGGTACTTCAGTGGTTGAACTTACTGCCATCAATACATCATCCACCAATGCCTCAGTAGCAACTCTTCAAAGGCAGCAGCTAGCAAAGCAAAGCAAAGCAAAGCAATCCAAAAGAAGCTGTATGAAACCATTTCCACCGTACTATACAAGTGCATTTCTTTACAGACCACCTCACACTACTACTAGAGTTAGACCCAAGTAAGATACATATTTTATGTCTGGTAACAACCCAAAGCTACATCTCCCGCACTGTGAACGAACTACATGGTTACAAGCTGCCTGTAACGCTCTGCACAGATCTCAGAGGGAAGTAATTCTGTACATGTAGTGAAAATGCACAAGATGATCTAAATTCCCATTTCCTCTTTATGGTCTGTTCTCAGCGGATCGAACAGGAGACGTGCAGATGCTGCGATCAGAGAAAGTGGCTAAAACAAGACAAGAGAAACGTAACTCATGACAACACAGATGCACCGACCAGATGAGAGACCAGTTTACAAACTTTTCTAAGGCTCCTGCATATCAAGATGTGGACACACTTACTGCACAGAAAAGCTGGCTTGCATAAGGACTCCCCAGATTGCACTTGATGTCAGCACTGAGTCAGTTGATCTTCTGGCAGCTGGCCTGCTCATATCTATCCATTTCTGTTCTCCTTTTCTCGTTATGCCAACATCTGCCCATGCTTTGCACTGACAGGGAAGGTCAGCAAGATCCTAAAGTTACATCAAACTTCATAACCAAACCACGTACCATTTCCAATTAGCATCTGCCCAACATTCTCCCCTTAATTCAGAACTCTGCCTAAAAAACTATACAGCATGAGTATGGAAGCATCTGTAAACTCAAGTTTTATGTACATGCCTTATAATTCAATTTGGATCACAGAGAAGGCACTTCTAAGAACAGCCTTCTGAGAATATTATGGTTTGTCCCATCAGTATAGACACAATTTTCTGATTTTAATCTTTACATTTCAATACACTCTATACATTTTCTGAGCTAAATTTTTTCCTATTGTCTTCACAGTGCAAGTCTTGTAGATCTCATGCTAGTCTTTGTGACCTGAGACTGGGAGGTTCTTCGAATGCCTCAGAAAGAACAATTGTCCATGCTGGAGAAAGTAGCTGCAAAGACTGTTTTCTCAGTACCATCTGTTCTACTGTGTAAACTAAATGAAGAACTGGTAAAACTGAATGTGAAGCTGGCCAATTTCACTGACTATTATTCAGCATTTTTTAATAGAATTTACTTCTCATTAGCATGAAGGAAGAAGAACTGTAATGTAAGACTTCTGTGTTTGCTCAGCAGATTCCTAATGCTTTGTCTTGTCTTCTCAACTCATCCGTATTCCTTTGCAAGTTAACAAGCTCTAATCCTCAGTAAGGAAATCATCTCCCAGTATGTTCCTCACTCAAAAGGTCATGAAGAACTGCCTATCTAGACACATTTACAGGCCTAGAACTGCTGTTCCTATTCATGACTGTCTTTGCCCTTTGCAGTATGGTATAATAGAGCATTACACAAAAAGCTAGGAGGGGGCATATTGACTAGTAACAGATCTAGCAAACACAAAAGCCAAGACTGCATTATTTCTCTCTCTCCAAGTTCATTATCTGTTTGTTTTTCCCAAAATATGTTATGTAACAATTTAATCAGAAGGAGCTCTCCATCCATAAATTCACAAACTTTAAGTAGCATAGTGAGTCCAGCCTCTACTTGTAGTGCATTGTAAATTATTTCCCAGATTAATGCCACCAAGTATCAGTGGGACCACGTAAAGATTAAGGTGATTAAGGTACTGTACACAGCAGGTTGTATAGCAAAATCAGGACCAGTAGGAGCCTGAGGTGGAAAAATCTTATTAAAAATGTTGATAATGGAAAAGCATTTATTTCATTATTAATCTAAATTTTGACATTCAGAACTTAATTGACTTCAGATCATTAGGGATTTTTTCCCAAAACTAGGCCATGGAAAAACAGTGGTGGCTGTGCCATCTAAAGGTTTTTGTTTTGTTTTGTTTTTTTAAACATCTCTACCCTAGGATTTTACATAGCTTTTACTCAATTTCCCATCATATGTATGGCATAAATTCATTCACACATCATAGAGATAGGACCAAGGAGAAATAGTTTTAAACTAAAAAAAGAGTAGCTTTAGGTTAGACATTAGGAGGAAATTCTTCACTCAGAGGGCAGTGAAGCCCTGGCACAGCTGCCCAGAGAAGCTGTGGTGCCCCATCCCTGGAGGCGCTCAAGGCCAGGTTGGATGGGGCCCTGGGCAGCCTGAGCTGGTGGGGGGCAGCCCTGCACATGGCAGGGGATGGGGCTGGGT